TATAAACACCAGGCAGCTGCTCTTCTGCTTCTCCCCTCCCAGCTAAGGGCTTTAAGAGCTGCTTGTGCTGGAGCTCATATGGAACTCCATTTGTCACAGTGGGGAGAATCAGTCAGTCTTGAAGATTTGTCCACAGACTTACACAAAGAGTTTGTGTGAGAAAGTGGAAAACAGTCCAGTTCTCAAAGCCCAGAGCACGGCCTTTGGGGTTAAAATGTTAACAGAAATGCATTTTAAAAGCTGCCTGAAGCACAACTTTGCAGTCGATATTTAGCATGCAATAGTAGGGTGCTTGCCCAACGGAAACATCAGCCAGAGCATGAAAATCAGTTTGCAGTTTGAGAAATGTTCAAACTGCCTCTCGTTAATAACTGCAACTTCCCAACCTGTTGCACTGCCGTAAATGACACCGGAGCCTTTCTGTGCCAAAGCTCTTGCAAAATTTTGGGTCAATGGTTTTCAAAATGTGCCAGCAGAGCATCTCTGAGGCAGACCAGGAGCTAGAAATGCTGGGCTTGACATGCAGCACCCATAGCAGTGGGTTGAATGAATGAACAAGGAGTGCTGGAGCTCAAAGAAGGGAAAACACACACGAATGGCAAACCACACCATTCAGAACTAGTGTGCTTTCAAGTCACCTGTGCTCGCAGTGACGTAGAGGAGTCTGATCTGCTATGTGATAAAAGGAGGCTGGAATGCCAATGGGAAGCTTTACATTATTCCTGGCTACAGTCAATGCTCCATACTGATGTGATAACAGTCTTACCAAAGGTCTGTGAAGACTTTAATAGTCTTTAGTGAGGCCATTGCTCACTCCCCATGAATGGCACGTTTGCTGTCTACATTGGCAAGGGCCCAAAAGAAGCGGAGTCCATCCCTTTTGGATTGCTCAGCAAGGTCTGCAGGTGCCCTTCTTGGTACACAGAAATCCTCTCAGTTTTCAAGGGCAGAGTTGTTATGTACCTGTCCACACTCTGCAAGAGCCACCTGCCTGGTTTGTACACAGAGAAATGAGTCCATGGACTGCCAGGCAACTTCTGTACACAGAAACTATGTCTATTTTCTCTGGTCGTTTGGCACAATGGAACAAATCAAAGCAGTTGGTACTGTGGCCCCTACATCTCCACTCTGTGCAGGACATAGGGGGTATTTGGAATTTTGGATTTAGCCCAGTCTCCTGCCTGATTGTCCCCACGATGCCTGAATGAGGAAGCTGCACAGTCTGAGCCCATGCTTCAAAAACTTTAGTTCTCATTGTGGACTGCAGAGTGTGTGGTGCAGAGCTGCTGGTTTAGTGTCTTCCAAGAGGAACACAGTTTTCAAGTCTCCTTGCCAAGGGTTATGTGATCTGAACTGATGGACCATGTGTGGGGATGACTGGGAGATTCACCTTACTGCTGTTCTGCACTGAAATGCAAGTGTAGGTGCAGTGGAACAAACTGTAGCTGAACCATCTCTATATTTTCCTTTTGTGCTCAAAGAGAGTCAACCTTTTTCCACTTTCTCTAAGGCTGTCAAAATCCTTCTGTTTGTATGAAAGTGAAATTGTCTTAATGCACCAAAAAAAAAAAACCAGAAAAACTGAAAAAGAGAAATGCAAACATGTTTTGAAGGTTTGTACAGATTTACAAGAAACACCTTGTCATGAGCAGACAGGGCAGCAGCCTGCTTGCTAAAACCCTTGTGCCAGCTCTGGCTCCAAAGAGAAGATTGCAAGTGCTACATCACAACCTTCAGATGGAGGAAGGGGTTTGTGCCAGTGAGGGTAAGAGTGAAGGAATTTGCAGGAGCTCCTGCCCTTTGGTTGAGGGCATCAGCAGCAAACAGCCCCACCATGTGCCTACTGTGCTACAACTGGTCAGGGGGAAGGACTGCTGCACTCTTGTTTGCAGTGTGCCCAGCTAATAGCTTTATAAAGGTGTTGGAAACGAAGAGAATAAAGAGAATAGCTTCCCCCATACTCTAACCAATTCCAGTGTTAGAGTTTTCATTCCAAACCACTTGACAGTATCTCATTAGCCTACTGCCTATAATAAATGTGTCCAATAACAATCACCAAGTCACACAAAATTAAAAATTCTATAAAATATAGATCAAATACATGTAATGCCATTTATTTTTCTATTCTACTCTAGAATTAAAGAAAATGAGGTCTGCCACCCCCCTTGGCTATGATAAATACAAGCTCCAAAGCAGACTGTCTAAAGTTTCCAGGAATGTGTCTCCAACCTCACGCTGCAGCCTTTGCAAAATTCATACCAATTCTTTCCACAGAAATAAAACATTTGTACAGATGAAGCTGCCTGCAATGCTTCAGGTAGCTACAGAGATGTAAAGCCACTCATCACTTGTCATCCTCTGGAGCACCTCATCAAAACCTGTCAAGGGCAGGAGCTCTGTGGCCATGGCCATCTCAGATGGCTGGAGCAGGACAACTGTGGAACTTGCTGCTCCAAATGCTGCTGTTCCACAAGGCTCAGCTCTAAACAAAGTCAACCTGTCCCCACTCTCCTCACAGCCTGCTGTTGTCATCATGTTGTCAAAACATCTCCCATTTCCCCAAGCTTTGCTGCCCTTCTCATGCAGCCTTCCCACTGCAGCATCCCTGAGCCCCATAGGGATGGCGAGGCAGAACCCCAGTGCTCCCACCTCTCAGGCTTACCACATACAGCTCTGGAAAACAGCACATGGAAGGTCCTTGCTTTGACAGAAAACATTTAGTTTTTCACATCTCAGCAAAAAAAGCTGGAATTAGGGCAGCTAAAGGAGAAACATCGGCTACTTACTGGTGGCTGATAGCAAAGCTCTCAAACCCCAAAATCCCTAGTTTGGAAAGCGTGGAGTCAAAATAAAACCATGTGCCTACCACAAAGTCAGCTTACGCAATCAATCACACAGAATGAAGGACTGCCTTAGTTCAGCTCAGGAAAAGCCCTAGGAACAAAAGCATAGAAATCATTCCTGATGTATAACAAAGTGAGATCTGACCATAGTGTGTGATCAAACAGCTCCGGAACAGTGACCCAATAGTGATTCACAAGTGCTTTCAAATTCCCATGGGTTTTCCATCATCTGATTCCCAGGAATGCCTTGCGGTGCCTCTTTTAACATCTAAATGGGAAGTCAGATGAAATAACTCACCAAACAAGGATTTCCCCCTCACAGGTCCTTCTGCTGCCCTGTCAGGGTCAGGCCACACTAACCAGTTTCCAGGGGAAAAGAGTCTCTTGAGGGAACCCTCTCCAAAATACCTTTCTACAGGCTTGTGCAACTGGCATTTTCCCAAAGGAAACCCCCCTGCAGCTCTGTCCACGCACTCCTGGAGCTCCCAAACCCCTTCCTCCCTAGCGCTTCTCATTGAGTTCAGGTGACATCACGTATAGGAAAGTATCAGAAGAGAAAGACTAACTCTGATAGGAATCAGCTTTATTTGGGTTTGGGTTTTGGCTTGGGTGGGTTTTGGACCCTATTATATTATATTATTATAATTTATAATTATAAACCTAAATAATTATAAATATCATATATAATATAATTATGTTATTAATATTAATTATATTGAAATTGGGTCCAAATAAAAAACAATTTGAAATGAAAGTTTTAATTAAAATTAAATTAAAAAATAAGAAACAGAATGATCTGTTGGTTCCTACAAACAGTGAATGACAAAACTCCAACAGATCACTTCAAAACACCCATGCTTAGTCAGACCTACTCAATGTCTGTCTCCACGTGTGGCAAATGACACATTACTGAAAAAAGGATAAGATAAATATAATGTCACACTTCCCTTCCAGTACAGCCTCCCTGTGCCCAGGCACTTGTGGTTCAGGCACTCGCTGAGCCAGTTTCTTTGTGTTCCTTGGTGTTTATGAACTGACATTTTCCTTCTATAAATGATGAAACGTATAGTGGGGAATTTTTTTTACCACAGTGAGAAATGGAAGATTTTTTTCCTAGTGTCTTTACAGGCAGGAAAATATTGTAGGGAAAATTGCCTGGTATCAGCACCTTAATTCCCTTTACAGAAAACCAGCGGTAGCCTACACATTTAACTACACTTGGTATTAAAAAGGCAAGACGAATTTCATTAAGGAAAACACATTACCTCTCAGCATTGATTACCAGGTTATAAATGCGACCTGCTAAGTGTGCATTAAGCAGCAACCTGGAGTTGCTGGTGACTTCCCTGACACTTGAGTAGGTGAATGAAGACCAGAGATGTTCTCTTTGATAGTACAGAACTTTGAGGGGCTAATTAAGAATAGAAATTGCCTTTGAAAAATGTATTATCTCACTCTGCACATGCAACTGGGGGGAATGGGTTGTGGCTTGCACAGAGGCACATCCCAACCTGAAAGCCCAAGAGGAGAAAGCAGTGAGGACAGGGTGGCACGACAAGATCCCTTTTGAGGTGCAAAACCCTGTCTCACCTTTTCTGTATGGCATTTCCTGCTGATCTCTGTTCAGTAACACCTTAGGGAAAGGCTTCTTGCAGGACCAGAGTGTATACACTGAATCTGTCTCTGTCAGAGCAGTTTTCTCCAAGACATTTCCCCATGGTTTTGCCACCTGAGTGTCCACACGGGGGAAGGGTGAAGAACTACTCCCCAGAATAAAAACCTGAGACATCAGATAGTCCCCAAGTGGTTTTTAAGAAGAGAGGTGTATGTTTCCACAAAGAGTTATTGCAACTGAAATACTGCTTCCTCCTGTGTCTGGGCCAGCAGCACGGGTTTAGTCACAAGTTTGATGTCCTTGTGTGAAGTGGGTTTGGTGGTCACATCTGACATTTACACAAGTAACAGGACGACACTACATCATCACAGAAGCTACAGGAAACCCCAAAGCAGGCATTGCTGCATGAGCAGAAACCTTTGTCTACAGACAAACAGAATATAGCATCCTGTAGCTTTGCAAACACCCCACATAGCTTCTGCCCCCCTGCAGCTCGCTAGTGACAAGACAAGGTATAGGAGGAGCCATGTAGTTTATCCTACCTCACATTAACATCAAGTTCTTCCATCACAGGCAATAGGCATAGGTAGCTGGCAGTTCAATGTCCATAGAAGAGACCTCGTCCTGCAGTGGAGAGAGAAAGGGCAGTTATAAGTTACAGGATCTGTCTCACAGATGCACATTTGCCCAGTGAAGACACCCATATGCTGCATTTTGCTTCTCTGTCCTGGCTTCTCTTGCAAACAGAAGTCTGGTAGACATGTCAAATGAAGTCATACCATTGCAGAGCTGTCAAAACACAGTTTTCTGTCATCTACCCTGGCATATTTGTATCTCACAACACTAAGGTGCATGCCTGCAAACACAAAATCAAGCTGAAGTGATAGACAACCTTTTGTAGTTGTGTATACACCACCATTCATGCATAGCTTAGGGCTAACAGAATGCTTCAAGGTCCTAGTGGGACAGTGGCTCTACCAAAAACCAAAAAAAAAAGTTCCCCCTCTTATCAGCTTCCAAGTCTTCATTTGAAAGCTAAGATCAACCTCTAACACCCCCCCCTCCATGGTCACCACTTCTCCTGGGAACTTCTGGGATCGAGATTCCCAAAGGATTATTTCAACTGCAGCAAGGTAGCAAACTACTGCAAGGACCACTGTACCAGCACAGAGAAAAGACTCTTCTGGACAAAGACTCGGTTTCCACAGGGGTGAGGAGAAAAAGCATAGGCAGATGTCAGATGATATCATGCATACCACATCAAAAACTGTATTTATCACAGCCCTCGGCAGACACCTTGTGTTACTGGTTGAAAGGTCCCGTTCTGTGTAGTCCTGCCCCAAATACTAGCAGCATCTTTCCTCTAACTACCACAAATGACTTAGTAGAAAAATGATTTTAAGAAACTAACCCAAAGCATTGTATCAGTGCACAAAGCATGCCACGCTTCACCCAGTGAGCTCTGGGCGCTGGTGTGGGAAGTGGCACGCTCATAAATACCCTTGGTTAAATCATCCTGTCCTTCTTCAAGGTAAAACTCCCAATGACCTCAGACAGACCCATCTCTATGTATTACCAAAGACTTTCACAGCTGAAATAGTCTTGTTTCTAGAAATAAATGAAAAATAAAAGGCTTGCAAAAACACACAAGCAAAAATGCTTGGTGAATGAGTTTCTGTTTTTACACAAAATTAAAACATTGACTTGCCACTAAATTAAAATAGGTTTCCTGTGACACTATATTGTACAGCCTTATGAATACTTAATAGCAGTACTGTAATTACAAAGGACTAAATTATTTGCAGCTCAAGTTAAAATAAATGTACTTACTCCCAGTAACACAGATATAAATATTAATGGGGTTCTTAATTCTATCAAAATTCCATCATGACTCCAAAGAAATGAATGCACCATCTTAATAAAGAATTCGTGCATTTGGTGCTATTAACCCAATGGAAAAAAACAGGGTAAGTTTCTGACTCAGGCTTCCTAGATACGATGCCAGGTTCGCACTCCAAATGAACACCCACTACCCAGGCCTGGCTCAGAGTTTACCAGAATTAGTACTTTGCTAGGTATAGACTATACATAGCTTTACAAGCAAAACTTACTCAAGTCAAAAGATGTTTTTATCTGAGGGTGGAAACCTTCAGAATCTGGCCACTATTTACAGCTCAAGCCTTCAATTGGTGTTTCTAAAGGCACTACAGAAGCCAGTGATTTATATACTGCTGTATTTTGCAAATACATGGGTGACAGTCTAGAGGTTCTGATCAAGTCATCTGTGTCCCTACCTGACCTCCAACTTTAATTTGCTTTGTTTCAATAGGAACAGGAACATATTCTTCCCTGTCCTGTCATTTCAAAAAGGATAAATACGAACCAAAGAGAACACGTTATAAACTGCAGTCAAAACACATGCGATCCTGACCCACTCCTCTGCCTGCCAGTACACTCTGTGAGCACTAGTTACATAGATGCATTACAGCATCCTTCAAAAGCAGGTTGCCATCCTGGTTTACCATGAAGGCACAGATCTTGACTGAACCCCACCAAGAGGATCCAGAGCAGGGCAGAAGCAGCCCCTGCACATAAGATAGAGATATTAAATTTATGCTGAGATAGCACAGATACGTCACAAGGAAAATCTAGTCAAAGTCTACTGACACAGATTCAGGGGAAACTGTTCCTTTGCCATGCAGAAGAGCAGAGACTTTGGTATTTACTGCTACAGTGGGACGTTATGAAATTGCTTTGCTGCAGTCCATGCCTATTACAGTTCTGTTACAAGGGAAATCTGTGTGTGTGTATGGGAGCCAGCAAGAGTGGAGGGTAAGAACATGAGAAGACAAAATGTCACCTATCTGGAGTATCCAGGTCTCCCATACTCCCTTCAGCTTCGGGGTTTAAAAGATACCTTCAGAAACTTTCTAAACCAAGCAAAACTCACAATTTCAGTGTCAGAACCGCTGCCTTATCTATTCATCAAAATGTGCTTTTCGATATAGGCACCAGCATCACTGTTCCTTCAGTCACAGCATGTGTGACACTTAAAAACAGGGAAAAAAATTTTGTTTCCATTAGTATTTTCTTCACTTGTTTTAGATTTATAGAGTAGAAATAACATTTTTGGTACAAAATAGGGGAAAAAAAAAAAAAAGAAGGTTGTAGGGATTTTTATAAAACTGGGAATTTTGTATTCAAACACCCAGCTACATCTCACTGGGCTGTTAGGTGTGTTTGTGTGACAGCCAATGATATTGCACCTCACATACAATTTACTTTTTCTTCCAGTTCTTTATACACCCCTAAGCTCTGCAGCCCCAAGTACATTTTTTTCTCTCCTCACAAACACGTTTTCTTTTCCGCACAAATATAGAAAAAAAGCAACATCTGGGTCTAAACAGACAATAAATTGGTTCATCACATTCCACAGCCCTCTGGGATCAGAAACCTGCCACCACTGTGCAGGAGACCTGTGGTGTTTTAAGGGCTGTTACTTTCATCTTTCCCCATATGATGAAGCATACAAGGAACATATAATGAAAGGACACGAACCCAATGACATTTTTTAAGTTTTTGTCAGCTTTTCCATAATGGATTTCGAAAGGGAATCTTCCTTTCCTTTTGCTCTCTCCATGACACAACAGTGGTCAGACTTGTAGTCATTGGAGTCCCCACAAAGAAAAGTGATGTCAATACCATGTAATAAAAATCTCCACAAGTTGTTCCATAAATACATCTGGCTCACATAGAAGGGCTGGTGCTATTCTTTGTTATTAAAGGGATTACTCATACTCAGTTAGGAAGCTGTTCTCTGCCTCACAAAGATAACACTGCCCTCCTAATTCAACCCTTATGCCATCCGGCCCATGATATGTATATATTCCTTTCAGCACAAAAGAGCTTCTCTGCTGTTATGCATGATGGTGAGGCACATGGAGCCATGCAGGCCAATGCAGCCAGGTCATGTTTTCCTGAACATAAACAACCAGCTTGCAACAGCTCCTGAGCTGTTGGAAGCTCTACAGCATGGGCTGAGAGCAACAGTCATTCAAACCCATGGCCTTGTCTCCTGGGCTCCAGACCCTTTCCATCCTGGGTTTGCTAAGAGCAGCCCTGCTCACAACCTGCCATGGAACCCAAAGGGGCTCCAGGTCTGGTTTCTCCTACAGATCTGGTTCCTGGCTTCGAGCACGGGCTCCTGCTCAGACACAGGTTCACTCTCCTGCCCAGATGCAAGAGTCAGGCTGAGCTTCCTTACTCCAGCTGTGTATTAATGAGTCTTCTCACACATGTTGTCTTCAGATTTGCTACCAGGGAATGCAGTGAAAAGCTCACTACAATAATCTACCCCAGGACTGAAATCTTCCATAACAGAATTAAACAAAAAACCTGTCATGGAACTCAAAAAAAAAATGACCAAACAAAGAAGGCCTCTGCAAAGAACTGTTGGCCCAGAGAAACTCAACTGAAGTTGTTATTTTGGCAGTATTTTCACTTCAGCAAAGCGCAGCATTTTTTAATGGAAAAAAAAATACAGGCACAGCATCTCCAGCAGGCTTGAAATGACAGCTCCATAGACTTCCCTTGTGAGGCAAGAACTCATTTTGTTCTCCAGTAATCACTGCCACCAAGAGCAAGACAGATACACCACATGTGTATGACTAGTCCTACTCAGCACTGCACAGGAGACCGGCTCTGGTTTGGCAAAAGCAATAGAGTAATAAGTCTCAGCAAGGCTTCACTGATGGCATTCGGGGAAACCAGAAGCCACCCATCTATCAAGATGAGACCAGCTGCATGCTTGTGCCTCACTCCTTCACCTGACACAACACAAAGGCACCTTAGTGGATGCTCCCCTATCTCTGCCCCTTCTCCTCCTCTCCTCCACACTGGTGGGAGGTAGGAAAGGGAAAATGCAACAAGGAGATGGATAAACTGATGTCCCTACAGCTTGGTTGGGAATATACTTGGGGAAACCACTCGGTGGCTTTAAGGTCTTAAAGAAGAACTTGCTTCTTGGAAACTGGAAGGAATTAGCTGGCGGCCAGCAGTTAATTCAGTCTCTTAAGTGACCACAAACCTGCCAAGTGGTAGACTTGGTCTGCCCAGTAAAGATTAAAATGTTCCACTGGACAACAGCAACAGCCACACCAGTCTTGCAGGGCATCATCCTTGAAAGGCACTGATTAACTTAGACACAGACACATTCTTCCTCCAATTTGTTTCCAGCCCACTCAAGCCCCATCTAGTTCCACTTTCTATCACTGCTGAACTGATGACAACAGAAGAGTTGAGTCATTCTGGAACACTTACACCCCCATTTCCTGCAGTGCTGGATTGTGCCACTTCATCACTTGTGACACCTTAAATGAAGTGAGTCTAGGGTGGACTGGGCAGTCTAAAAAGCCCATTTCATTTTACCAACAGACTAATATCATACTGTTCCTTCTGCACCACAAAGGAGGGAGTGAGATACAAAGAAAACCCCTATATTCAGTTTCTGAGTGTCTCATGCTCTTTGTGAAGAAATGGACTTCCCAGTGCAGCTCTCCAACTTCACTCTTCTCTTTATAAATGTAAGGTAAAAAAAAAAACACTACCTTTCCCTCATCCTTTGC